GCCAATATCCTTTAAGATAACAGTCCAGTCATAAAGACATACAGGTTTGACCTTTATTTTTTTAACATTCTAAGAGCCAGTAATGCTGACTGAATACTGGCGATTTGTGGCCATTAAGTCATTAAGTGTTTACTACCTAGGGTGACCCAGGCCCTGCAGGGGAGCCTGGTGAACGAGGCATCGGAGGAGATCCAGGACCAGATGTAAGTTCAGTGGTATACAGTACTTAACAGCAGGACACTGGGCTCTTAAGCTCATTGTCATAAACAATTAAGGTTTTGCCAAATTGTATTGTATGTGCACAGTACATGCACCAGAAAATCAGAACAAGTTGAATTTCTATTTATATCCTTCAGGCCACATGTAATGAGGCTTACATTTGATAGTATTTGCTCCCATTGATTTGAGCTACCAAGTTACTTTAAATTAAATTAGGAAAGGCTGAATAAGGACATATCTTAATTTCAAGTGTTACAGATTAGCGCAGTACAAGTTTAGAACCATAATGGTCTCTTCTCTTTTTCCAGGGAGAACCTGGTCCTGAAGGTGACCCTGGTCTCACGGTGAGTCAGCAGTATTATGCTTCAATTTGGAAGTCCGTAACAAATTAAAAAAACAGAACAAATGGTACTAAAGAGCTCTCCTGTACTTTATTTCAGGAATGTGATGTCATGACCTACGTCAGAGAGACATGTGGATGCTGTGGTGAGTTTGTTTGGCCCAAGACTTGAACTGTGTTGTTGGAAAACTGTTGTTCGAATGCTTCAAGTTGTACTTTAAATCCTTAGGCCTCGTGCTGCTTCTACAGAAAAAACTAAAGCAGCATGTAATTCGTTCATTTATCATTAAGCTATTTTATAGAAAATAGACCAATAAATGTATTTTACAGTAGTGTGAGGTATTTTGGAAACATTGTCCATGTGTGCTTTGGTTCTATCTATACTAAATGAGTAAAGTAGGTCATTGGCCTGTTTACAGAAGGTCTAGTTACTGTTTTTGCAACAGGGAAAAATGCACACTTTACTGGTTTTACCAATTGTTGATTTTTACTACTTCTTTCAGTTATTTCACATTACTATATAAATTTCAAAGACTTTAGACTATAGGACCTCTGTAGAGCACTTCTGCCATGGTCGCAGTCTTATTATTTTACTTCTTAAAATAAAAATCTCAATTTCTTAACAGACTGTGAGAAGCGCTGTGGGCCTTTGGACATTGTGTTTGTGATAGACAGCTCGGAGAGTGTGGGACTTACCAACTTCACCTTGGAGAAGAACTTTGTCATCAACGTCATCAGCAGACTAGGGTCCATTGCCAAAGATCCCAATTCTGAAGCAGGTCAGAACTGAGTCACCTCTTGGACTTATTTAGACTACTTTCGAAGGTTAACAGCAAATTGAAAATCAAAGGGTTGTTGAAGAAAGTAAAACCAATTGCAAATTTAGAATAAAACACATAATGTTTTTGCTGTGTGCTGCAATAAGTGATGTTGCGTCATGGGCCCAGGGTCCTGTGTTCAATTCCTGTCTCAAGTATCTGTCTCTGTGGAGTTTGCATGTTTCCCCTATTGTTAGGAGTGTTTGCCAGGTACAGTACTCTGGTTTTCTTCTCCTTCAAAAAGACATGCTGGCTTGAATTGATTGCATAGTCTATGTTGTCCCTCTCTCAGTAACCCAGCAATATCCTGGCATCCAGAAATGTGAGTAACCATGTGCTCTCATTCCTGCCATTCACTCTGCGCATCTGGGATAGATACTGGCTTACGGCAGCTTTCATAAGGATAAGCATTTAGTGGTTATGAGTGGATGTTATTTCTGTTTTCTTTTATAATACATTTGGCATTCATCTTCTTATGATTACACATTTATCAGAAACACAAATGTAATTCCTATTACAAACAATTTTTAATGACCCATTGCCTGTTATTCTCCCACTGTGTATTAGAGAAAGGCTGAGATAAAACAGATCCATGACTTCTGAAGTTGCTTTTCTTCACAATTCCATGTGTCATCAGGAACCCGGGTTGGCATTGTCCAGTACAGCCACGAGGGCACTTTCCAGGCCATCCACCTCAACGACTCCAAGATCGATTCCCTTGCCTCTTTCAAGGATGCAGTGAAGAGACTGGAGTGGATCGCGGGGGGCACCTGGACCCCCTCTGCCCTGAAGTTCGCCTATGACAACCTGATTAAGGGCAGCAGGCGAGCCAAAGCAAAAGTGTCCGCAGTCGTCATTACCGACGGGCGCTTCGACCCGCGGGATAACGATACCCTCCTGCGCTCTCTGTGCGGTGCTAACATCTCTGTCCATGCCATTGGCATCGGAGACATGTTCCACCGCAGGCAGGAGAGCGAGAGTCTGGTGTCCATCGCCTGTGAGGACAAGAGCCGCGTCACTGGGATGAACCTGTTTGCAGACTTGGTAGCAGAAGATTTTGTTGACCAGATGGGGGATGTGTTGTGCCCAGGTAGGGGACTGTTTTTTTTTAAATGATAAGAGACGGTTCATATCCTTTACTTTGTGCTGTGTACATTAAGTCATTTTTTTATCATATCATTGCTTGTTGTTTTCTTTACCTGAGTAGTAGTTAAACATGCAGAATTAATAATAAATCGGATGTATTTATTTATTAAATAAATTAAAGGATTTAACAGTTCATATACTAAATTCACTTTACTCAAATTTAATTCATTATTTGGAAATTTTTTTGAGCTCCTGGCCTATATGCTATGCATGTCAATATGTGGAAATTGTACAAGAGTAGTTTTAGAATTAATTTCATGCAATTTATTTTAGACCAGAGGCTTATTAAAAATCGCATGTGAACATTTGTTTTTTAGATCCTTATGTTGTTTGTCCAGACCTTCCCTGCAAAACAGGTAAGATTAAATACTTTTCATGACCAATGGTACTCATACAACTTTACTTTGCTAAAGACAAGTGAAAAAAAATACTTTTGGACTGTCTTCAATCTGTTATAAAGTGACTATCAAAAGTATTCAGCACCCTTGGACTTTTTCACATTTTGTTGAATTACAATATGGAATCATAATGTATTTAAGTGGAATTGTTTTCCAACACATCATAACACTATATAATGTCAAAGTGAAAAGAAATCTACAAATCCTCCTAAGGTAAATCCCTCTTGGATGAATAATTTGATAAATACTCTTGGAATCAAAATAACTACTGTAGTTGTATCTGATATAAACACCACTTTTGCTTAAAGAGTAGTGCAACTGCTTCAGTAGACAAATCATAGCAGGAAGCAGTGGGTAAAGTCTAACTAATGCTTTCTGTTGGTTTCATGTTATTTCACTGTAAGGCACTATGCGTTTTACCTGCCTTATGCCTAATGGGCATATTTGTTGTATCTATTTATCTGAAATGATCAAATGTTACTGACCACACAATAACACAATAAAAAGAGAGATTTCAGACATATAGACAAAGGGTGCTGAGGCTCTTAAATAGGTCCAAAACCTTGCAGCGTCACCTGAAGATACATTAACTCATTACAAAACAAAAAGTGCATTTCAAAAATCCAAATCATTGCATTGTTGACAGTATGGTCTCTGGAAAGAAATCACGTAACTTAAAACATCAGAAAGAACACAGATGAGCTGAACCCATTTGGCTCTTCAAGCTCATTTGGTACTCTGAAGTTCATCTGGAATGGTAAAATGGCTGGACAGAAAGTAAAACAGTCTCTGTTACATATATAGGATGTTCATGTATAAATTATGGATTCACACACTACCAATAGCCCCAAAGAAAAAACAACAGCACACATCACCAACCTACAAGAATGAACAGTGGCTTAAAATGAAAGCTGTGGCAAATGTTTTATTTACTTTTAATCAAGGTAAGAATATCTTTTTGAAGGCTTGCAAAACGTGGGGCATGGTGGTACAGTGGATAGCATTGCTGCCTCACAGTGCTGGGGGGCTGGGTTCAATTCCTGTGCTTCTGTCTGCCTGGAGTTTGTATATTCTCCCCATGTTTGCATGGGTTTCCTTTCACAGTCCAAAGACCTATGGGGGGGTTAATGAAGTAAAGATGCAGCATGTCTCCATGACCAATTTGAATTCACAAGCCCCTACACATGAGTTGATAGCCCTAACCACTACATCACCACCTGTCTTTTTGAAAACAAATAGCAGTTTCTAGAAGTTCTGTGTAGACAGACAGCCAGCATGACCATGGTTTAGAATTATGTGGAGCAGTTTAATTTCACTACTTGTGTACGTGACTGTATGTGCTTGTTGTGTGTTGCTTTCAGGTTTGTCCATATTACAGTGCAATTATCTACTTTTATCCACATGCACACTCTGGATAAAACACACTCTGAGCATTACCAGTGCTTTCAGAAAACTGTCTGGTTTACAGACATAATGTATTGTACTCTCAGTAGAGAATATATTAATTATTAGTTGTCATGCAAGGCTGTTGCTGCTGTTGTAATGTTGAAAACTTTTGGCTTCTGTTTTGTTGATGAGAATTGTGAATGTTGCTGCTCTTATTTTAAACTTGCTCATGCTATATTAAATATTCTGATACATTTTTCTACTGAAAAATAGGGAAAAAAGGTTACATTATGTATTCAAACTTCAATCCTTGCATTATTGAGTGAAATTGTACTGTTATTTAAATTCAAAAAAATATTTTTAATTTCTAAAAGCTAATTGTATATGCCTTGGTCTTGTGTGAGTTTTCCAGAAGCAATAAAGCTAGAATGTAAAAACATACAGTGCCTTGCGAAAGTATTCGGCCCCCTTGAACTTTTCAACCTTTTGCCACATTTCAGGCTTCAAACATAAAGATATAAATTTTTTATTTTATGTGAAGAATCACCAACAAGTGGGACACAATTGTGAAGTGGAACGAAATCTATTGGATTTTTGAAACTTTTTTAACTAATAAAAAAATGAAAAGTGGGGCGTGCAAAATTATTCGGCCCCCTTGCGTTAATACTTTGTAGAGCCACCTTTTGCTGCGATTACAGCTGCAAGTCGCTTGGGGTATGTCTCTATCAGTTTTGCACATCGAGAGACTGAAATTCTTGCCCATTCTTCCTTGCAAAACAGCTCGAGCTCAGTGAGGTTGAATGGAGAGCGTTTGTGAACAGCAGTTTTCAGCTCTTTCCACAGATTCTCGATTGGATTCAGGTCTGGACTTTGACTTGGCCATTCAAACACCTGGATACGTTTATTTGTGAACCATTCCTTTGTAGATTTTGCTGTATGTTTGGGATCATTGTCTTGTTGGAAGATAAATCTCCGTCCCAGTTTCAGGTCTTTTGCAGACTCCAACAGGTTTTCATCCAGAATGGTCCTGTATTTGGCTGCATCCATCTTCCCCTCAATTTTAACCATCTTCCCTGTCCCTGCTGAAGAAAAGCAGGCCCAAACCATGATGCTGCCACCACCATGTTTGACAGTGGGGATGGTGTGTTGAGGGTGATGAGCTGTGTTGCTTTTACGCCAAACATATCATTTTGCATTGTGGCCAAAAAGTTCGATTTTGGTTTCATCTGACCAGAGCACCTTCTTCCACATGTTTGGGGTGTCTCCCAGGTGGCTTGTGGCAAACTTTAGACGAGACTTTTTATGGATATCTTTGAGAAATGGCTTTCTTCTTGCCACTCTTCCATAAAGGCCAGATTTGTGCAGTGTAAGACTGATTGTTGTCCTATGGACAGACTCTCCCACCTCAGCTGTAGTTCTCTGCAGTTCATCCAGAGTGATCATGGGCCTCTTGGCTGCATCTCTGATCAGTCTTCTCCTTGTCTGAGCTGAAAGTTTAGAGGGACGGCCAGGTCTTGGTAGATTTGCAGTGGTCTGATACTCCTTCCATTTCAAGATGATCGCTTGCACAGTGCTCCTTGGGATGTTTGAAGCTTGGGAAATCTTTTTTGTATCCAAATCCGGCTTTAAACTTCTCCACAACAGTATTACGGACCTGCCTGGTGTGTTCCTTGGTCTTCATGATGCTCTCTGTGCTTTCAACAGAACCTTGAGACTATCACAGAGCAGGTGCATTTATACAGAGACTTGATTACACACAGGTGGATTCTATTTATCACCATCAGTCATTTAGGACAACATTGGATCATTCAGAGATCCTCGCTGAACTTCTGGAGTGAGTTTGCTGCACTGAAAGTATAGGGGCCGAATAATTTTGCACGCCCCACTTTTCATTTTTTTATTAGTTAAAAAAGTTTCAAAAATCCAATAGATTTCGTTCCACTTCACAATTGTGTCCCACTTGTTGGTGATTCTTCACATAAAATAAAAAATGTATATCTTTATGTTTGAAGCCTGAAATGTGGCAAAAGGTTGAAAAGTTCAAGGGGGCCGAATACTTTCGCAAGGCACTGTAGGTTAGACAGAATTGCCTTTGTGAATGTCCTACCTTTAATTTGTTTTTGAAAAAGTAAGGTTAATAATTCTTCATAAAATGAAGTCTAGACCCATGCCTTCATGCCATTTAAGTTAATGTTTGTTCTCAGTAGAAAGCCAGTTTGATTAATGACAGATGGACAGTGCTTGGTCGTACAGGAAAGAATGTATATGGTGCTATAAAACTGAGATGAATTGAAAGAAATAAACATGCATACATATTCCATTATTATAGTGCAGGTTAAAGATGATTGATGCATAATTGGAGATAAATATGTTATGCATGAACATATTAACCAATGAGAAATTTAGTTAATTTGTGTTACATGTAAGTTGACTCTTTGTATGACTGACATTTTTCATTCTGTTAATGTGGTTTAGTTATATTTTCATCGTTTTTTTAAATGAGGGATAAGTATTACAGATCAGAATAGGCACAGTAATTATAACACAACCAATCTAAGAACCTGTACATTAACACCAAATCAAGACCAACAGTGTATTAGTAGGTGAGATGTCCTTACCTGCTTTACAAATCAGCTAATTTAAATCATAATCATCAATGCAGTAATTTGCACATGACTAGTATGGGTATGATGTAGATGAATACCAATTGTGTTTAAATTTGTCCAGGTCTAACAGGTTCTGTTGTTGTTTTAGATGGTTTATAAACCATTTGTGGGTTCACCAAATCTTACTGTTGGTAGAGCTGTAGTTTAGAGTTTTGCATTCCTAGAGGAAGATATTCTGATCATTAAGTGGCATTATTAATTGAGGAATCAGGTTTATTGATGCGTCCTATTGAATATGTAATACCAGTTAGACTTTGGATAGGGATTTACGTTAGTTTGAATAAGTGCCTACTACTTAAGATCATATTTACAAACAAGTGTACTCCAGAACTCAGAAGCTCAAGACCTGGAAGCCCAAGGCTATTAGAGATGCTGAAGTTCAGAGATCTGCCACAACAATTTCAAACAGTGCCTGTGCCACCAAAACTGTGAGAAAAACAAAAGTTGGTGGCTGTTTAAGACACTGTTCTCATTGTAAGTGAAATATGCAGCCAGGACCTTACTAAGCAAATGATGCTCTCTCTCACTAAACTGAGGTGGTTATAAGAGTGCCAAAAGACCAGTTTTTGTTCATGGTGAAACAAACGATGATCCCATAAACAGTACACTTTCTATACGGAATATATTCAAAGAGCTTGGAAACAAGATGAAAAGCATGATATACAACGTACCCAAGATCTTCTTGTTCTGTTGTTTTAAAGAGATCTAAAAACATATAAATACACCAGCTCTCCGGGGCCTCAATTGGACATCAGTAATCCACAGAGAAATTCAAAAACATTTAAACTAGAATGGAAAGTGAGGAGAGTAAAAAACAACCTACAAGGAGAAAAACAGGTTGTAGAGTAAAACTGAGAACCCAATTACAAAATAAAAGAGGTGCATTCATTTACAGTAATGTAACCT